GGTAATTCTGTGAATTGGATGTGCAATCTGTTCAATTTGCTTCTAAGTAGCAGTTTCGTAGCATATACATCCGGAATCTAGTTTGTTTCTAATTATAGCTTGATAAAATCACAGAAGAATAGTTGTGTCTGCACCCCATTTGTGATTAGAAAGGACTTTTAGAAGGTTTGTTCTCTGTTGGCATGATTTACTTAGTTCATTTATGTGCGATGTCCATTTCAATTGAGAGTCGAATGACATTCCCAAAATTTGATTTCGTTACTTGCTGTAAGGGTGTCTTTAGTTTTAAATTTAAGTGGTGTTATGTTTTCTTTTTGTTAAATATTATTAATTTAGTTTTTTCGGTTATCTAATCACTACCCTTCTAATCTATTTAATGTATTTTATAATATTGATGCAGCTGATTTTAGGTTTTTTACTTCTCAGATATATTACAAGACCATACGCGTAAATATTTGCTTTGACTGGATGCAAAAAATGGAATACGTTGTTTGTTATTAAAAACAGCAAGGGGCTTAATACAGATCCTTGAGGGACGCCATTTGCGAAGGTTTTCGTAGTTGATATGACACCGTTTGTTTTACCTTTTATACTTCTGTTTTTACCCTCTCCACAAAGATTTTGGGTGAAGGCTAGAAATTTGCCATCTATTTTCTAGCTTTTTATTGTTTTTAAGATATAATAGGGCCACGTGGTGTCAAATGTTTTTGTGATATCAACGAAACTTGTTATTAATTTTTGTTTATGTATAAAGGCTTCATGTATTTCAGATTTTAATGTTATTATATTATCTATTGTAGACCGTTCTGATCCGTATCCACTTTGGATGGATCTAAGAAAATTTTTCTTTTTTAAGTACCATTTTAATTTTTTAATTTTTTTCCATTATTTTACAAATGAGACAGGTACAAGATATTGGTCGATACGAGGAAAATAAGTTTTTTGGTTTATTGTCTGTTTAAAATTGTATAATAATTATTGTTTCGCGCCACAGAGATCAAAATTTATGTGTCGAATAAGTTTTGTTGAAGATCTCTACTAAAGTAACCTTCGCGCTAATAGGTAGTTTTTCGATAAAAATTGTTGGTAGGTCAGGAGGAGGGAAATTTTTGGAGTTATTAATTCTTTCATTTATTCGTCAAGTGTTATGGAAATGTTTGGTGGAAAAGTGGATATTTTGAGATTGTTTACGATACATTTCTTTTTTACTGTCTTACTACTCAAACCAGCTATATTTCTCGAATAAAAATAAAAGCATTATGGAGATTTTTAATAAAACTACACTAAACTACAAATTCACAATTGTCGTTTATTTGATTAAAATTAATAACACAAAGAACCAAGTCCATACTAGTTTTTACTTCACTCAAATTATACATGCAGCGTATGTAAACAGACCACAGTGTAGTTCCAATATAAATAAAAGATCATTAGGACCACGTTTTATCTCACTAAAAAATAGACATTAAACGTTCTGAGATATTGTGTAGACAGTTTAGTTATCGTTGGCTTAATGGTAAACGTTAGAGAGTAGGTAATTATATGGAATGTAATATTTTATCGGAACATAACCAACTTTACATCGCCAGCTGGATAGGATTTGAAATGTACAGTTAAACGTGGTAATATCCGATATAATTTTTTTAATAAAAATTATTTTACTTCAAACATATTTCAATTCGTTTTTGTTTACATTTAATTGCTACATTAACATTTTTAGGAGAATATGCTCATATAAGTTTATACTCAAACAATCAGCCATCAAAGATAGCATCAGTACTATTAACTACGTGCAAAATATCTCTATCAAAGTAATATAATATTATGATTGGTTACATACATTTCCTGCATCGGCTATTGGAATGAAGTATAATTCTTGTTAACTAAATCACTAACACAATATAAAAGTAAATCTTAAAATATTTACAAAGTATAAAATTTAGCAATACCTACGTAAATCAGTAACAAAAACATTCAACTAAAATCCATAAAATCCTATAAGCAAAACACGCACATATTGGATATAAAGATGCTTTGTGATAGTACATTATATAGATGTTAAAATAAATTCATGCACTACGTTTACAAAGTGGTAAAGTAGTCAAATAAACAGTTACTATAACAAAAAAATAACAGAAATTGGTTCTAAACATTTGGAAAAGAGCACAAAAATTTATACTACGAAACATGGAATGCCATAAAGCATTCCATGTTTCGTAGTCAATCAAGTCAAATAATTAATTGGAGGGTTCAGAATAGAAGTGAACCAAGTCCACTTTTTGTCATTTACGAGTTAGCAAGGCTATAATATGCAATAACTAGGTAATAACTTTTCAGTGTAATAATGAACTAACTTCTAGTTGGTAATATCCGCTAGGGAGTAGCTAGTTCTGGTGTTTACTGACAGATTTTTATTTTCTGTCAGAATACTACTGAACCAAGTCCAGGTAGTATTGGTTCACTGTATACAGTTCTTTTGACAGTTTATTACACATTATGTTTGTTGGCTAGTTTTATTATGCAATGGATATTTCATCTGGATCAGATGAAGAGTGTTCGCTAGGCGAATTTGACATAGGTAAATACAATCTTGTTATAGTTTAGTCTAGGATTGCTCCTCAAAGTGTTTGATATTGGATGAAATGTGTATCATAGCCTGACCTATTGCAGTAAACATCTAATTTCATATATTTTTTTTGACAGTGATCCGTCATCTGACTGAGACTGTTCTGTCGGTCATCTTGAAATGGAGACGTCCGCCCAAGAGCCTTCTAACCCAAAACATTTCTTATGATTTGACTTAACCCAGTAAATCAAGAGATAAAGGTATTTAAATCCCTTAAATATTGCTTCAATACGTTTTTAACTACGACTAAAACCCAAAAAAGAATATTTTAGTGCTTAATGACAGCGAACGCTGAAATCAAATGTTTAAAATAAATTGGTTCTAGTACAAGATATTTACGAACAGAAAGTTTTGCCTATTTGTTTCTCTTGACTGTCTTATAGATATGTTTTGTAAGGGAAAATACGTTTTACAATTTAATTTGTCCATTCAGATTGGGAAAATAAAGAGATTTTCCAAAAAAGAAAGCCCCTGAGGAACTTTGAAAACTGGATATTTCTCTCTGGATATGACTGTAAATGCACCAAAAGGTGCTGTGAGAAGTTCTCTTCTCACAGCAATTTTTGGTGCAGAAGAAACATTGAAATAATTTTTTAACTCATTTTGGAAACAGGCAGATGAGCTGAGAGTTTGTAAGACCTACGTCTTACCAGGTTACAAATGAGTTGGGAAATATTATACAGATGGTTAAATAAAAAGTTACTGTCATTATTGAAGCACGGGAAAAAGTAGCGTTGCGTAAAATTGACGAGTCAGATGTTGTTGACCATATAAAGTCATTTCCCTGCTACCAAAGCCACTATAGAAGACAAGACAATGAGAACAAAAGATACTTAAGCCCAGATTTAAATATTAAAAAAATGTATGATTTATACAAAGAGAAATGTGAGAGTGAGAACAAATATCCCGTGAAAGAAAAATATTACTACCAAATCTTCAGTCAAAACATTAACTTGCACTTTAAACCTCCTTCAAAGGACACTTGCAGCAACTGTGAGTTGCTAAAAATTATTTCAAAAAATCCGTGCTAAATCTGACGAGAAAGAGATAGCTGACTGAAAGACAGAAAGCACATTTGACCTTCAAAAGGCATTGTCTTTTCCCAAACTCACAACTTTAATAGCCTACTATAAGAGAAATCTTTATATCTACAACTTTGGCATACATTGTTTTAATAACAACACTGCCTATATGCATGTGTGGGATGAGATTAATGGCGAAAGGGGTTCTGAAGATCTAGTTTCATGCCTTAGGAAACATTTGTATGGACATGCCAGACCACTCATTCCTTCCCAATGATACTGAATTCAGTATAATAGAGAGAGCAGCCAAGAAACACAGGATCATGAATGTGTCTGATGACTGGTATAACATTTAAACTGCAAAAGTGAAAAAGCCTCAGTTGGAACTTGTAAAACTACAACGAGAAGAGTTTTTGAGAAGCAAATTCCTCAAAGATTCAATTACAAATAAAAAAAAGATACTGAAGGTAGACAAATCAATTGTCTAAAGATACGGTGGTTGAGGTTTAAAAAAGAAGCATCTTTTCAAATAAAAATAAATGAATCTTTCAGTGAAATTTCGAGTTTCCTAACCTTGGACATCTAAAAAAGACAAGTAAACATGGCCTAGAAGACCCGTGAAAGTGCAAACCTCTTACTCAACCAAAAGACAAGTGAATTTCAAAAAAGGAGGACATGTTCTCAAGATTGTTCTTGAGGACTGGAGGAACCTTCCAGAGAGTCAGCCAACGCGTCAAACCCAGGTCAACGGAGCAACTGAAGGAAATTATACCAACTTCGACGATTCGTTTTTTTTTGTCAAATAACTTTTCTTTTCACCTTAGAAGTGATATTTTGTTTTAATATTTTTAATATGTTTTTTAAATAGATGTAAAAATAAGCTGTATTAACAACACTTGAAGTTGGTTAATAATCATCCTAAAATTCTTCAGTATACTCTTGAATCAAGTTCACTTTTTTGCATTTTTTGAAATTTGGCCAATAAAAGCAATGTAAATGTCTAAGTTACTCGTTGACCTTCTTAAATTAAATATATACTTTTATAAATGTTAACAGGCAATTTTGTTATAAAGGTTTAATTCTAAAGCTCTCTAGCTCAAATGTAGATAAAGTGGGCTTTCTATTCTGAACCCTCTAATTATATTACATATTACATAGCTATTACATAGCCGAATTTGGAAATAAATTATATTAGGGTGCAGTGAAAAATAGAAGGCAAACCCTCAATGTAGAACACGTCCCCGACAAATATATAGAGAGTATGCCCAAAATATTTACTGTAGAATTGTAGATGAATGGAATAAATGACAAAAAAAATTATTACAAAGGAAAAAAAAAATAATAATACTCACTCAATCATGTGATTGACTAGTAGATGATTATAAAAGCATATTGGTAACAGATAGGGTAGTAGTCCAGGCGGGATTTCTACAAAAATAGCTAAGATGGGTATATTGAGTCAGATTAGATTTTTATAGATCTCCGTAGAGATGTTTATAATTGCAATTTGAATATGCTTCAGGTGAAAAGGAGATAGAAAACGGAAAATATTTTTCAAACCTTTATTAATAAAAATCTTTAATAACAAACTCAATCCCCTGGGAAGCATCATATCTGCGACAAAAATGGGTGCAGTTAAAATTGTTAAAAATTAAATTTTCTGTCAAAAATTTCTTACGCAAAAGTTTCTTAACCTTTTTTTGAATTTTCGTCAACTTTTTAGCTGGAGCAAATTCAAATTCTAGTTATCAACAACCTTGCAGACATTTTTTTAAAAACCGGAAGTACTACTCCTTACAATTCACCTTACAGATCTCGTCTGGACTATAGGGTAATTTCCAATATAGCCCCAACAATTTATATGGACGCCACGCTTCGACAAAAATTCATATAGCATATCACAAGTTAAGAAACATTGACCACATTGAATAAATTAAAACTATTTATTAAACCTCGATCAACGAGGTATTAATCCTACACTTTCCGAATCATTAGCATCCAAATAACCTCTACCACCTCTGCCCATAAGGCTGTAGTACCAACTTCTACAAATACCCAATCGGACACCAGCTTCTACCACAACACACAAAATAATAACAATAAACAGGAATATAACAATACTCTTCAATTCTTGAACTGCATCAGCGATCTTTGCATTTGAATCCATGATCATTTTATTTTGATCGAGAATATGTTTTTCATACCCCTTTTCTATTTCATTATTTTGACTGTTTGGTACAGGTTCTACTTTGGGAATTTTGACAGGGATACTCGTCGCAGAAGTACTACTATCCGTTGTACATTCCACAGGGGTAGGTAAAGTAATTTTGGAATCGTGTAGACCGTGTTTTAAAACATCCAGATCTTGACAAAACCAGTTGTTGTTACTAAGATCTAAACTAAATAAATTGGGAAATGTCTGTTTAATTCCAAAGATGTTGATATATTGCAACGTGTTGCCACTCAAATTTAAATTTCTTAAATGAACAAAACTGTAATTGCCTGTCATGTCAAAGGATGACAAATAATTGTTGGATAAATCTAAATCGGTCAGATTGGTAAGACCCTTCCATTGTTCAGCTGACGTTTCAACTAGAGCATTATCGTTTAAGTACAGCTGTTTTAAAGCTCCCAGGTAGTTAAACACTCTTGGATCTACAGTTTTAATCTTATTATGACCCAATCTGAGTATCTCCAAGGCATCTAAAGTCATAAACGAGAGATGATTTAAAGAGTGGATTTCGTTATGCGATAAATCTAGTACTCTAAGAGTCTTTAATTCCATAAAAGTCAAGCCGTTGTCCGGAATGTCCTGTAAATTGTTAAAGCTAAGATCTAACTGGACCAGACTCCTCAATCCTTCGAAGCTCCCTTCTGACAAATTTGTTAAGTTATTATGACTTAAATTAAGTTCCTGGAGACAAAATAATTCTAAAAATGCTCCAGGTTCTATCTCACTAATTGCTTTATCATGCAGATCGATCTTCATAATGCTGTTAGAACCAAAACTGATAAAACTATTTTTCGGAAGACTTTCGATGGTGCCGGAACTGAAGTTGACAATATTTCCTTGATAAGTGGAATGGCGAGGATCAAAACTAGCATGATTACTCTGATATTCGTTAAGGCTCGAAAAAGTTCTGATTTTAACAGATTTGTCTTCAAAACATTCCTTCGTTTCATTAATTGTTGAAGATACAGCTTCTGCAAATGCAGTTACAAACTTTTGCGTGGTTGATGATTGGCACGCCACACAGCTTAGCAGCAAAGCTAAGCACACGAAGAAGACTTCTTTTGGCATCTAAAATTAACAAAAATTAATGAAAACTGTGAAATATATAGTTATTGGTTGAAAACTGAGAGAAAGCACATTTTTAAATTCCTCTAGGTAACTAATAGAAAAAATGTATATTGATAATACTCCAGTCGTCAGAGACGAAAATGCCATTAAACCTCTACAAAATATACGATCAAGCAAGAAATTTGCTGAGAATGTCAATTTTGGGACTTAAGGCTGTTTTATCGGTGCACCAAAACCTAGTGACAGTGTTTTCTCTGTTATTTATCGACAAAATGTTTCGAAATTTGGACACGTTTTTAGAAATTATGTTGCTTTTAGAATGATGGTTTTACATTTTTTATTTTTCTGAAACTTTTGTTGAAAAATTGGATTATACTGTTTAACGTTCTATTATAACCAAACTTTTCACGCCCATCACTTAAAAGAGTTTTTTTTCTGTAATTGTTGATTTTTTTACCTTTCTGTGTCCAGTAATAATCGAGAAAAGCCTGTTCCAACTTTGAAGAAAATTGCTAAAAAATACTAAAATCTAATAGTGAACCGTGTTACCCATCATTGGGTAACACGCATACCCAAAACTAATTTGAATGGAGAATAATGCATTTGTTGTCATTAAACTATTCGTCGGCCGGCGCCACTGAGTAAAGATGTTCTGGCGTAAGCAGTGTAGAAAAGTAAGTGATACGCCCATTTCAAACCGCAGTGTGCTTTGACTGCCAAAACAGCCTTAAAAACGATGCAAAAAGTTTGCCAGAAATTTCCCCGAATTTCCCGTTAAAATTCCCCTTTTAGGAAGGTGGGGGCACGGAAAATATCAATTTACAAGAATCTGTACGCCGTAGAAACAAATATTACAAACAAGAAATGTAAATGAGATTATAAAGTAGTTTGTAAAATCAACTGTTTTCTCAGAAACAATGCTTGAAGTGACCGGCAATTTTAAATGTCAGTTCGATCTATTTTCATCATATCCTATCGACAAAAATCAAAATGCGTTTTGAAGGTAAATACTGCAAATCTCGTATGCAAATTTTGAATTTTGCAGCAACATCAGTGTCTATAAAGCTGATAAATAAATAAACGTTGGCGATTTTTGCCATTTTTGATGATTCTCATGAGATCAATAAAGTTTATCACTTCTATTTACCGGTCGCTATGAAATTTCCATTGACCTTCTTTAAAACTAATAGCATGAAGTTTGGATTTTGAGTTGTGGCAACAAATATGTGGCATTTGAAATATGCCTAAAAAACGCTGAATTTAAACTTTTACATTCCAAACGATCTAAAACGTTTCTGATTCTTTTCGATTGCACAAGTACGTTTTTCGAAACTACACAACTTCAGAAACTACAAATTTCACTCAATACCATCTTTGTGGAAGTATTTCTCGTGACGTGAGATAGTTTGTAATGTAAGTTTAAATTCAGCGTTTTTAGGCATATTTCAAATGTCTCATATTTGTTGCCTAAACTCAAAATCAAAATTTCATGTCACAAGTTTTCAAGATTAGGCTCTAACAATGGAATTTACATAGCGACCGGTTAATGAAAGTGATACATTTTATTGATATCAATGAGAATCGTAAAAATTGCAAAAATCCCGAAAAGTTAATAACAGCTTAATATTCACTGACTTCATATTCGGCACAATGCAAAAATTGCATACAAAAGCTAGAATCTTCACCTTTAAAATGCATTTTGAGTTTTGTCGATAGGATACTCTGATCAAAAAGATATCGAATATTTACTGTCGGGTTGATACAAATTTTATATGAAAAATTGTACACGCGCGTAACTGACAGTCAAATTCGCAGGTTGCTTCAAGCATTGTTTCTGGGAGAACGGTTCATTGTTTACAAAAAAAAACTACAGCTACATTTCTTCTTTGAAATATCTTTTTCTATGACATGCAGCTTCTTGATAAATAGATGTTTTCCGTTTATTCTCTACAATGGTGGGTTTTAGAGAGAAGGGCGTAGGTAGGAGTTCAAACGTTTTTTCATTTTTTTGGGTCCCAAAATTAACATTCTCCGCAAAATTCAGCTTGCTTGTTCGTCTCGTTTTTAGAGGTTAAATGTCTGATGACTGGACCATATTATATAAATCTGAACAATTAAACAATTTAATATGAAAAATAAGTAAATCAAATGTACCAATATAAATACTACTACTGGGTGAAAAAGATCACATCCCGACACGATACGTCCCAATAAGCTATTAGAGAACGTCCTATACGAACGTACTTTAGTAGGACAGTTATAAATAAGCTATAACCAAATATCACACCACGAATCAACTGAGAACATAAAAGAGTGTCTGTAGCTATGCCATTAACTCTAAATTTGTTAATTGAACATGTCACACACACTTACAAATCTTAACAATATAGTAGGGGAGTTAAAAGAAGAATATTATGCAGCAAGCTATATATTTCAAAGAAAATAAAATACGAAAAAAAATTAATAAATGTAAAACAAAAACTTCTTTCTCTGGCAAAAAAGACAAACCAGTTTAAAAATGGGAGCAAAGAAATCAGGAAATGTAACGATTGATGATAAAAAATGGGGATGGAGACGATTGAGTGTTATGAAAATGAACAATGACAACAGTTTCCCTCCTCCTCATTCATTAAGCCCTTGTCACACTCTAAATATTATTAACTTGCTGAGATGTACCAGAGACTACATTTGACCTGCCCATCGTGTTGAAGATCTTCTTCTTGGCCTTAGGCCTTATACCTTTCCTTCTACTATCAATAATTCTATGATACCCGTTCTTATAGCCATGTGACCGAAGTAAATTCGATATGCTCGGTTTACTTTTTTTAATAGCCTACCTTTTATATCAAGCTCTTCCACAATTGACAGGTTGGCTCTATGTTCTGTCTAGGACACGAGTAGAACTCTTCTATAGACCCACATTTCGAGGGCTTCGATCTTACTTGTATTAATTTTTTTGAGAGTCCATGTATCAGCTGTGTATGTAGCAATGTAGTAATAAAGGCATTAACAAACCTACGCTTAGTATTCCTTGTTATTGTTTGGTCTTTCCATATTTTAATCAGTTTAGCTGTTGTGGTTTGGGGTATTGCTAGTCTACGATTGATTTCAGAGGAGCAATCGCCATTGTTATTTATCAGGGAGCCAAAGTATACAAATCTGTCCAACACTTCGAAATTCGATACTTGGTGTATGTGCGGTAGATTATTATTTGCTCTGTCTACGATAATTATTTTTGTTTTCCGGTGTTGATTTGAAGTCTTAATTCTCCGCTTATCTAGCTTAGCCGTTCAGTGATGGTAATAATTTTGACTTCATTCTCTGCTAGTCTAAGTTTGTGAATTGCGTATCGCAGGTTACTGATTTTTCTGCCTCCGATAGTGATTCCATCCATCCATCCATCCATCCATCCATCCCATTTGCCTATTACTGTCAAATTCCTTTGTTTGTTTTGAATGCATCTGAATATATATATCGTGTACTTTAATTTTCGGTGAGTTTTTATCATACAGATTTCTTCTTAGCTTAACTAGGTGGTTAGGTAGGTATATTTTCCATTATACTCAACAGGAGATACCATTTTACTGAATCGAAAGCCTATGTGTAATCTACGAAACAGAGCAGCATTCGTACTTTGATTTCTCTCGCTTTTGTATTATCTGTTTGGTGTTTAGTATCTCTCGCGACAACAGCTTACTCATCCGTTAATGGGATTTAACTTCATAATATAGAAAGAGAACAAACATACATAATTTTTGAGACACATATTAACGACAACACGTAAAAAGGTGCCTAAGTCGTCCAAAAATTCAAAATTTAATGATATATGCAGCCGAAATATGACCATAAATATCATGAATTTAGAAAATATCGGAAAACACTAGAGAATCCACGTCCAATAAATATGTTACATATTAGTAGAATACAAGAAAAAGAAGGTTGACACGACATACATTTCAAATTGTTTAATTATTTAACAGTAAATTGTTTTGTTCGTGAAGTTTTGACTTGCAATATCTACAATCGTTATCAAAGACGATGCAGCAGGGTAACTGAGTATCCTGGAGACCTCTCGGTTGGTCCGAGTCGACATAGCAATTTTCTAAACCACAACTGTAAGGAATTATTCCTGAAGTTGATAACGGTTGTCTTCGATCTTTGGCCGATCTTGACGTGAAGTCATATTTTACTAACAACTTGCCGATTTGATGTATACTATCACCATTCTGGCTTTACAACCCTTCGTGGGTCCTAGCCTCTTCAAGAATGTCTCCCCAGTCGCCCTACCCATCATCTTTCTCCTCCAAGCACGTATTCCCATATTTCTCATGTCTTCTTTGTTGTAGTTGTATCATCTTCTCCACACTTCATTGTATACAGGTGATGGAGAATGGTTAATGATGTCTAATATTCTACAGTGATAAAGCTTGTGGTTTTAATGGTTGGTCGATATAGCGGTATACTCATTTTGGACGTACTGATCGCTTGATATTCCTTGGAGTATAAATTTCTTTTAGATTTTTCAATTTTTCCCGAATTACTCAGGGTTAGGGTTTTCATCACATCTCTATTCTATTTAGGGTAGTGATTTGAGTTGTTGTTAAAATAACTGTGTGTGCGCGTTCATCATTATCAACCTGTATGCGTCCAAAGGCCGGACATAGGTCTCCCTCAGCTCTTTCCACCTGTCTCTCTCCTGTGCGGCTTTCATCCAGTTATTGCTAACACGCTTCAGTTGGTGGGCGTCCTCTGCTCCCTATTGCTTCTTATCTTGGTCTCCACTATAAAATACGTATTGTCCATCGGTTGTCTGATAATCTGGTGACGTGTCCGGCCAATTCCATTTTAACGACGCGATTTTTTCGATGGCATCTGTTGTTTTTGTTCTACTGTGTGCGTTAGGTTTCAGTATATTCTCTATGCTATCAAGTGTTCCGTTACATTTTTATTTAATTCTTTAATTAAATTTTATTATGAAACTTTACCCCTTAATTTTTTCATGAAACTTTTTGCAATAATCTAACTCAACCGACTCCCCATTGTCACACTATCACTCTGTAAAATCTAACATCTCACTGGAAATACGTTGTAAGTATAGTAGTTGTATAAAAATGCATTCTCCAAACTTTCGTCTAATGCCTCACCAATTGGCACCACAGTAAAGAGGTAAATTAAGTCGAAATTCACTAATAGATCATTCAGTCTCAGCGTGAAATCGTTTATTTTCTCAATAAAGTGTCTAGAATCCCAGACGGTAAGTTTCAGACTGGTCAATAGCTGGTTACAGCAGTGTCGTAAAATATGTTGTAACATTGTACCATATGTAATAGTCAAATTCACTTAATCGGTTTTAAAAGAAAATTGTCCTTATGAATTCTGGGAACACTAGCAAGGTAGTTGTGCTTCAATCTTTTGTACATAATTTGTTAATCTCTCGTTCAGTATAGTAAGAATGGACAAGTTTATTGATTTTTGTCAGAAGAGTTTCAATGGGATCGTGTTTCACTTACTTCATTCAGTAGTTTTTTGGTTTGGTTTGGAGCGAGTAAAATTAACATACATTTTTCAGCATTTATGCCTTTGAACGGTCTTTTTCCACAGACGTGAAATATCTTTCACCTGGTTTTCTCATATAATTTGTGAAGTTTGATACCAAATGTCGTTTGTAATATCCTGCGGTAACTGATGAACTCCAACACTCGCTGCAGACAAAAAAACCAATTCCAGACCATGGACTATACAACTCTAAAACCATGTACGATTACAAAAGAAACGGTTACGAAAGCGTGCATCATGTTAATGAGAAACAATAAGAAATAAACAAAATGCGGCGCACCAAGAATTTTCCTGTTTGTGGGGGTTTGATTGGACAATAATGTTTAACCCCCAAAACCACTGGGTGCGCCACTGGTAGAACAGAAGAATCCAAAAACAATCACGCAATACGAGTGCCAAAAAGGTGATCAGTGTGTTGCAAAATAAGTGAGGCTTATCAGAATTTAAATTAAAAGAAATTAAGTATGACAGTATAACTGTTTCACCTAGTAAACCTAAAAAAGCGCTTACCAAGTCAAAATTTTTCGACTTCGATTAGGTCAAACCAATATTATACATAAATACATATCTTCCGACTAAGGAGACATTCCAGTGTATAAATATTGTCAAATCAACGATAGGATAAAATTAGGTGAATATTTAAATACAAAAACTGTATTATTAGCTTTCTTCTTATAAGATACTTCTTTATATAATTTAATATCCCCTTTAGAACATGTAACCATTGCTGCTGCTATTCCCGTTGTCCACTGTCCTACCCGGAATAATTCCACGGCAGCATTTGTTAAAACTTTAAGTGACCTGACGATGGTCCTGTCGTGTTCTGCACGGCGCAAGCATGGCTTGGCGACATCTTGTCGCTAAGGGAAGATAATAAATTCCCGTTACTGCATATTTTTGTAGGTACCTGGCTACGCAACCAAGGTAGTTTGAAAATGGCTTCAAACATTTTTTTATAGAGGAAATATGACAAACTTTTTCAATGAACTGAAATATAGCTCGAAAAACTTCAGCACTTGGTCATTGCCTCACTCAACCATAATTAATGAAAAATTTACCAAACCATAAACAAATAATTCCGTGCACCGACAAGGCAGCGAGCAGCATGTAAACAGTCACTATCACTCGCACTGTAAAGGTCGATTCAGACACATCAGTCACGTCTCGTCACAGTGATTGCGCCGAACCGAACAATCCGTCATACAAAATATTCTTTAATACAAATATGTTGCCGGCATTCACACTCATCAGTTGACAAACAGTTTCCCAGCTGTCAGATAGTTGATAGTTCTGTGACCAAACAAGACCGGTTCGGCGTCGAGACTATGACGTTACTGATGTGTCTGAATCAACCTTTAGTCCTTTGATTTCCGCAAACAAATCGCCAACGAACACGAAGGGAGCGTATGACAGCGGCAGTGGCATGAGTAGTGGCAGCGCGAGCGACGTATTTACATAGTCAAGCTGCCAACATTCCTGCTCAATTCCCTGTTCACTGCCGCGGAAGTGAGTGGGCATGTAAAGGGGATATAATATAATGTAATAACTAATGTCGCAAATGATCCAGGAGTTAAAGCGTTTATGGTTTGTAGATAAAAAACAGGACAAAAGAATAATTTCTTATAGTCAAAATGCATATATACTATAGCACGAATGCCTTTATATTAGTACATTTATTACATCATTTCCACCTTAGAAGTACTGATATAAGAAAGTGCTTTCCTAGTTTTCAGAAGTGTGTAATGAGTTAGTAGCTTGCTTATATTTAAATAGCTTAAATAACAACTTATTTATACAAAATCAAAACTATAATTAACTCAGGTAAAAAATAACAAATCTGTTATGTGATATTCTATTACGGAACAATTTTAAAGTATGTTTCTAATTACGTAACAGATTTAGATACATTTTAATAAACTACATTATAAAGAAATATTATATTGTCCCAAAATGTGTTTGTCCCAAAAGCTTAAACTACTAAAAAAAATCAGTTAACGAGTTAAGATCCAGATTCTGGCAATATGAAAAAAACATGTTGCAAAGTGAGGATTTTTTTACAACAATTACAATTTAAATTCCCCTTAGACATATACAACCAATCCTACAGTTGACCATCAAATTTCCAATATAATTCTTTTTACTTTATTCATCATCAACATTACTTTATTCACACACAATTAGTTATAATTACACTACAGGACATTATAGTCCCTTCCAGTGGTCTGTAAGATTATATTTCTTTTATTCCACATTTAATCATTGAACCGTTTAACTCATTCTTAATTCACTTACTTTCTCTTATCACATTTTAATTTCTTTTTTTCAGCTTCCAATGTTATTGGTCAATTAAATTTTTATAGCCAATTTTATATAAAAATGAAACTACTGTCTTAGTTTTAATAAATTAGTCGAATAAAAATTTATATAGAGTTTAACACTGACCTGGTTTGTTTTTTAAAAAATGTGCTACCAATTTTGTTCCGAATGTCATTATCGCTGCAAACAGTCAATTATCACTTCCGGAAAATCAGATTAGTTAGCATTTAACATTCCTACTGTTCGGATGTAGAAACATTTTTCGAGTACGGACTTATATTCCCTGTTGGTAATCTAATTTCATCGATATACTACCAATTTAATATTTTCAAGTATGGATTAATCAATGTCAACCACCACTGTTTGGTGGAACTCACACTTAGAATGTAGAGCTAAAAGCTTTGGTACAAAAAGAGCTACAGGAAACAGCGATTAATACACTAAACCATATTCAGCGGATAAATTGCATAAATATAACAGGTGCCATGCAAACAATACCAGTGGCTGCAATAGAGTTGGTTATTGGCATCACGCCTCTGACATATATGTCAAAGAGATGACGGTGATAACAATGATGCGACTGCGCTCAGCTGGTGCAAACCTTGATGTAGGAATGGGACAATTGAGAACTCCTTTCTGGTATAGAGAGCTAGATGAGCTACCCCTGATACAGACACGCTGCATCTCAATTAAACCAAAGTTTGTCTTTGACAAACCCTACAAAATCGTACCAAGCCAATATAGGAAGACAAACGTGGCAAATGGCTCAGGATGCGGAATATACCTCAGATCACCGAAGTTCAGACAGAACTGGCTGCTATCTCCATAACCACAAAAGAGATAACCGATAAGAGAAAAAGGTATAGCCGGGAAAACTATAATAATCTGCACAGATAGCAGACAAACGCTGCTAGCCTTAAATAGACCACGTGTCACATCAGGATTAGTAATGGAGTTTCGCATCGAGTCACTAACTCAATTGGCTAGGAAGGCGGCAGGCCTAAGATTATTAGGACCTGGGTACTTTTTTGGTTGTTCAACTACAACAATCGCGAAAGTTGTCAAATGTCACTTTCGTACGTGAACCGTGAAAAGATGGGAAGAGGGGCAAGGATGTAGACTTTCCGGGGTAATACTAAGTAACCTTGAAAAGTCAATATCAAAGAAGTACCTGAGAATGATCAGGAAACACCTACGCTTGCCAGTTATCGAGTTATCGTTAATATGAGAGTACCCGTTCAGCAAGTCCTGGCCCACACCTGCCCACATAAGGGAGATGTCCCCTGGTGACTTGTCCACCTTCCTAGACATGGTAGGATGGACAATAAGCCAAGGACGACAGCTCCCTGGGAAGATGCTTCTTCTTCTTCTAGTTCCTATCCGTTTCGGATGTTGGAAATCATATTGGCAATCATAACCTTGCTCGCTGCGGCTCGAAACAGCTCCATTGAGGTTTTCTTAAACCATGTTCTTAAATTCCGCAGCCATGATATTCTCCTTCTACCGGATCCCCACTTACCTTTACTTTACCTTGCAATATAGACTGTAGCAGGGAGTAACGGTGCTGATTTCTCATAACGTGTCCCAGATATTGCAATTTTATGCGTTTGATCGTAAACACAATCTCTGGTTCCTTCTTCATTTTTCCTAGAACTTCCTTGTTTGTGATCCTTGCTGTCCATGATATTCTCAGCATTCTTCTATAAAGCCACATCTCAAATGCTTCAAGTTTTTTAATAGTGGTGTCTGTAAGCGTCCATGCCTCCGCCCCGTACAACAACACAGAGAAAACATAGCATCTCAGATGTCTCATTTTTGTATCAAGGGATATGTTGTGACTTTTGAAGATGGCGCTCATTTTGTTAAAGACCGTTCTTTCCTTTCCTATGCGGCACTTTATTTCCTGTAAATTGCTCCACTGTTCGTTAATCATAGTTCCCAGGTAACAATACTATTTTACTCGCTCTATCTGCGTCCCATTAATGTATAGCTGAGCCCCGTTTATATTCTCCTTGCTGATAATCATTTGTTTCGTTTTGTGGGTATTAATGTTTAGTCCGTACTGTTGACTGTACTCGTTTATTCTGTCCATTAGCCTCTGAAGTCCCTCTAAACTATCTGCTATCACCATGGTGTCGTCGGCATATCTAACATTGTTTACTCTTTCACCATTTAGAAGGATGCCTTCGTCTATTCCGTAAAGAGCCTCGTTAAAATTTTTCTCTGAGTACATATTAAATATCAACGGCGATAGGATACATCCCTGTCTAACTCCACGTAGTATTTTTATGTGATCTGTTTCTTCTCCGTTAATTTTCATGTATGTGGTCTGATTCCAGTAGAGTTCTGAAATTATTCTGAGGTCTTTGTCATCCAGGTCTGCCTCTTTTAAAATGTTTATCACTTTTGATGTTGAACTCTGTCAAATGCCTTTTCATAGTCGATCAAGCACGCGTATACGTCGCAGTTAACGTCCCTGCATCTTTGAATCAGTACCTGTACTTCGAAAAGTGCCTCTCTGGTACCCACTGCGTTAATGAAGCCGAACTGTCTCGATTCTTCCATGGATGACTCTAAGAAACAGTTTCAACATATGGCTCATTAGGCTGATTTTTCGATATTCTTCGCACTTTTTAGCCCCTTATTTTTTAGGTCTCGCTATAAATTCTGATTCTAGCCATTTATC